TCCTATGTGCCAAAGAAGAAGATAGGTTTGTCCAAGGGCTTTAAATCCTTCTTGTGAATTAGGTCTATGAATCCTTTTAAGTCACTACAGCCATTCTTATATGTATGCATAAGGCATTTCACTAAGAACTGAAAATATCATGAACCAGCCAGGCATCTGAGCTGTACAGCATCTGACAATCAATTCGAAGGACTCTGTACTGAGTTGATCTGTAGTTCTGGTCTCTTGCAAGCCCGTCCCATGTTGTCCTTAAGTTCACAAAGGTAGAAAAGTCTGTTTGGGACACTATGTTCCCTGGGCATGTGAGCTCCTAGGGAGAAACCTGAGTTTTAGATAAATGAGCTCTGTTGAAGTCCATTCTAGCAGTAGCTAAGTTGACTAAGTGTGTCTTGCATGGGTGCCAAGAAGAAATTAAATGTAAAAGAGGGAGACCAGAAACGTCACTGTGTTGTTTCTATTTATTCAGTGTATCTTTTTAAATCTTTAGTAGCTTTTATGCCAGGCACTGCCCCAGGTGCTAGGCTGGGCAAGATCTGCAACAGACACAGCAATAAACAGAACAACAGACAAACATCTGTGCCCTTCCAGGAGCTTACATTTCAACGGGAAAAGGGGAAACCACAATAAACAGAGCAAGAAAGTTAAATACATGAAATGGAAGTTGGTGAAAAAACTCTGGGAAAAAAGTAAAGCTGGGAAGTGATATTGTAGTTTTTTTTTGGGGGGGAAGAAGATGAAATATTAAATAGGATAGTTGGTGAGGGCCTCCCTGAGAAAGTTACATTTGAGTAAGAGCCTAAAATTAATGGATTAAGCCATGGAGATACTGGGGAAAGAGTGTTTCAGGCAAAGGAGAAAGCAAAACAGATGAGGGCAGCAAGTCCCTGGAATTTTCTGAGAATGCAAGGAGACCAATATGGCTGGAGAGAGACAAAAAAGAATAAAGTGATGAGAGATGATATCAGAAAGATAATGGGGGAAGAGAATATGATAGAACCTGGGTTAGTGTAAGGATTGTGTTGAGTGATTTTGAACAGGAAAACGGATTCTGTGGCATTCAGTGAGAGAAGACATCTTGAATTTTCAAGAACAACATATTATTTTCCTATCCATCAGTCTACCCTTCCTTTTGAGGGTGATGTTTCTGCAAATGACTTCCCTGATCCTCTTGGCCTCACCACAGGAATCCTTCTTTCTCAAAGAGTAGAAAACTTGGCTCTGCATTTCTCTGAGAGAGAAGGTGCGTCTTCAGAAGATACAGCAAAGGCAGTCTTTGTGCCATCCAGAATGCTCAATAGGAAGAAAAATGTGAAAATTGTAAAGAACCTTCTCCAGAGATTAGGCAGAGAGTAATGCATTGAAATCACATTCTGTGTGTTTTAGCAAAACATCCACTAGAAAAAAATAAGGCTTTTACATGAGAATTTTCAAAATATTCCAAGACCTTCACTCCTTTGCAACTAAAATACTACCCAATAAATATTATCTCCTGAAACAGAATATCATTCTTTGGTTAAAGAAAGAGAAAAAACACTGAAGGAAAGAAACTTTCGGTGGACCTTGGGGTACCATCAATATTATTGGGGCACACCTTCTTAGATTTTCCTGAAGCAGTCTTTGCAATTGAAGTTTATATATTACATTCGTTCCCAGAAGAACTAAAGAATGAGGATAGCTAGGGGAGCATGGATAGCTCAGTAGGTTAGGTACCTGATTCATGATTCTGTCTCAAGTCATGATCTCGGGGTATGGGATTGAATCCTGCGTGGAGCTCTGTACTCAGTGGGGGAGTCTGCTGGAGATTTTCTCTCTCTTACTCTTTCTCCCTCTGCCCCTCCCCCTTTCCCCCTTTCCTCTCAAATAAATAAATCTTTAAAAAAATTAAAAATGGGGACAGCTAGGTAAAAAGGCTTTGACACCACTAACTCAATGGTGGCCTTTCCTATTGGAACCAGGATATGGTTTCATATAGTATACAATCACAGGTCTGAAAACATGGGCTTTCATCCTGACTAGGCTGTTAACTGGCTCTTTACTATTTGAAGTAAATATTGTGTACATTTACTGGCACTTAGTTTTCTTTTTTCTTACCAGAATAGTAAGCATGTGGATGGACAGTAACTACAACTTTCCTTGTTAGGGAGATCTGTGAAAATGAGCAGCCCTGGGAAGAGATGAGTCCAGGTTATTGAACAAGCTCTATGCTCAGTAATTTATTAGGATTACTTTACCCTGAGATGTTAATTACACAGTATTGTACCTCCCTTCCTCTTTTTGTTCTCATAGACATTACAAACAGACCACAGTACTTTTCCCTATCGAGACCGTTGATCAAGGCTGGTCACTATTTATTTATTTGCTTGATTGCTTGCTTATTTATTATTTTGCCCAGTATCTTGGGCAATCACAACCAAATAATTGGAGATGGCAGTCAAGTTGAAAACAATCTGCTATCTCATCATTAGCGGAATGATCATCTGGAAGACAACCGTTCCTAGTATAATTGAGAAGAGCACTCACATCCTGTCAGCCAATTTCTCCCATCCCTAAAGGGTTCCAGCATGTCATCAGTTCCACCAGCACAAAGTAGCTGCTGGCACCCTGAGCATAACCAAAATGGATCTATTAGTTTTTCAGTAAAGAGGACCAGAAAGATAGAATTCATTCCGCTTCTTTATGAAGCCCACTTCTATCCTGAGAGGAGTCTTCTGTAAAAGAAGAAAACTCAGATATTCAACAAGTAGCAAAATCAATGACTTCTTGATCTTCGTCCTCCCACACACTCACTTTCTCATTACCCAAATCTACAGGAGCTTAGATCAAAAAGTATGTGTTTGTTTCAGTTCCAGTGAAAAGTCCTAACAATGTTATTAAATAGCTGTGATGAATTTTAATCTGATGACAGCTTGTGACCCACAAATTGCTGTTTAAAATTAAAATGCATTCAAAATGAAACTGGCAAGAAAACCACAATATTAAACTTGCAATCTGCTGTGAAAAAACACCTATCAAAAGCACGATATTAAATATGAATATGATTAATTTCCATATAGCATCTTGCGATTGAAATCTGAAAATGATAGCCCATCACTGCACTGCCTTATTAAGTTCAAATTGGATGAACATTTTTTTTTTTTTTTTCAAATTAAGAAGTCAAAGTCGAGATGGATTGGTTTGTCTTTGGTAATACACACTTTGGCAGAGCTCCAGGTATAATGTAGGGCTAGAGACTTCTAGGTTTCTCCTTTGATGAACAAAAGTTTTCTATTTTCCTCATCCCAAATGTTCACCTACAGTAAATTTAGAAATGATTTCCACCTGCTCAGTTTTCAGTTTAATTATAACTTTCAAGCTATAATTACTCAAGATATATTAAATAGAATCTTTAGAATGTATTATACATTAGTTAAAAAAAAAAACTACACTGACATTTCTGACAGATCAGCTAAATCATTCCTAAACTTGTAAGAATCGAGGCTTTATTTTTTTTTTTTTTTGGCAATGGATGTTTAGTGCTACCATTAAGCATAATAATGTAAATAAAATTCAACCTAATGTGTACTTTTTCATTCTAAATTGCAAAATTTAAAGAACTGCATATGGTAATAAAATGATGCATTACAGCTGTTTGCAAATAATTTAATGACCAAGTCATAGCTATTTGCTACTTTTCAAAAGGTACCAAAGAACTATGGAAAATTTCACCATAAAACATGATAGTTATAAGAATTAACACGCGTACTTAATTATAGACTTAATATTTCTGTGCATGACTTGTTCAAGAGGTTCACAATCCACTAAAATAGCATGGGCTAGAAATAAGAAAGTACCATATTTCACTCTCATTACTGCACACATAGGAAAGGAACTCACCCACTCCTTTTGAAAAGAGACCACAAGAATTGTAATTTTGCAACCATTATTTTTATTCATTATCCCTGGGGCATAATACATGCTCAATAAATGTTAGCTGCAGGAATGAATGAATATGTGTGACTGGTTGACAAGCAAACTCGGATAAAATATCTAATCTTTGCTTGCTACAGGGCTACTGCATGGACAACTGCTGTCGCAGTAGGGTGCCTAAAATCTCTGCCATATTCTATTTTGGTACGTGTGTGTAAAAATGATAAAGGATTCCGTCCAGCAAGTCCTTGCATTACACAGAGGCTGCGTGTATCCAAAAAAGCAGGATCTGTAGTGACATTGCATATAAAATTCCCCAGGTTTGCTCCCATTCGAAATCTAATATCGGTTCTGATACCAAATATATTTATGTTTGGGCGCAATCTCACTGTCACTCTTGGCTAGTCCTCACCAAATCTGTCCCAGGGACAGTGCCTACCCCAGGGGTTGCCAGCCTTAAAACTGTGACTGGGTTTTTGTTTGGTGCCCTCGGACGCTGACCACGATGCTGAAAGCGAAGAGAGGGTCCTATTTTAAACCTTTCCTCCCTCTTATTGGCTTAGAAAATTCGAGTGACAAGAGCAGGGGCCAAAGGAGCCTGGAGCGGCATCATTAACGTGAACCATGTATTTCGATCTTTTGGGCGGAGATGTGGTCCTTCAGGTTGCAGCCAATGCATCTCTGTGAGCTCTCGCTAAACCCAGGGACCTTACGGATGTAGCCGCTGCAGTAGAAAAGGTTACATCCAGCAGGATGTCTTGTCTGTCTCCTGAAAAACTGGCAGTCAAGTGCATAGCCTAGAAACAGGATCAGGGAGTCTAGATGCAGGGGAAAGGAGGGGGAAGCAAACCTGTGCACCTATTGACAATGTTCACTATTATTCGTACCAGGTAAGGACAAATCAAGAGCCGGTTTTAGCTTAAGTTCTCAGCCTCAGTCTTCCAACAGGTGCACAGCTCCCTCACCCCTTGCCCGTCAGTACTGTCCTGCTTTCTACGGCTTTCTTGGCGAGGCAAGCTTTTCCTAGAGTCCTCAAGCATGTGCAGTTTCCCGGCTCATCCACAGCTCCGGCTCTGCGCCCCGCAAGCCCTTACCTGCAGCGTGAAGATTAAGAAGCAGGCACAGCGCAGGGAAGCCGACTGCTGTCCGCATAGTGTTTGCACGGAGCGGTGGAGGAGGAACTCCGCCGCGACCCCACTTCAGGCAAAGTGTGACTAGAAAGAGCCACCACCGAGGGTCTTCTGGTCTCCGGGTTTCATTCTCGGGTCCTGGCTGGCTTGGCAGAGAGGTCTGTGGCGCTGGGCGCCGGCAGAAGCCAGCACCAGCTTCGCCTCCCGAAGAGAGGGAGAGACGAAGAGGAGGAGGAGGAGGAGGCGGCGGCTGGGCGGGGGGCGGAGCAGGGCGGGGGCGAGGCGCTCGGAGGCGGCTACTGCTCGGCCTTCTGCAAGCCCGCAGCCGCGGCGGCGAAGGCGGGGTGGACTCCCGCGCCAGCCCTGGAGCCCTCCGCGCGGGGCCAGCGCCGCGCCACCAGCCGCCAGACGCGCCGCGCCTACTGAGCATGCCCGGCGCTGGCCCTCGCGCCGCACGGAGTTTCGAAGTGAAATTCCACCTCTCCGGGTCTTCGCGGCGGCTGCGAGGGGGGCAGGCTCCTCCGCGGGGGGCTGCCTCCTCGGCGGGGGAGGTCTAGCGGCGGTTGTCCGGAAGACTCTGTCCACGACCTGGGGGTGGGTGGGGAGGGATCGAGGAAGGCCTGACCCGAGGAAGCAGAGGACCTCAAGACCCACCCTACCCTTTCCTCTCCACGTGGACAGAGCTCATGGCTGGCGAAGAATGACCCCTTCCTGGGGCTGCCTGCAGGAGGAGTCGTCCGTGGTATCCTCCGCCTGCTGAGCTTGCTGAGCACCGAGGTTGCCTGGGAAAGCGTTCCCAAAGCACCTGCTCAGCACCCTGCCCTGAGGGGGGTGCGGGGTGGGGGATAGCGATGGGTGTCTTCTTACTAACAACTGTCCCCTTTTCTTTTCTCCTTCCTCTCTCTCTAAATCGGTACCTGTATTTAAACTTTCTCCTGACTCCAATCCAAAGTCTATGACCATAGTGACAGAAAGAAGTGAGGCCATACTTTTAGACTAGTAGGATATATCCGTGTAATTGATGTAATCATCTTGAGTCTCCATTTTCCTTTCTAAGGTGAAAGGTAATAGAATTACCCGTGTAACTGGGCTCCTCTGGTCCAGTCTGTGTCTCTAGGTAGACTACAGCAGTCTGTGTAATAGAGGTGGCCTCCACCTCCAAGACTTTGTAGTGTGGAGATCCTTATATTAGGCTAGTGGCTAATTACTCCTAATCATAAAGAGCCCGGGTCAGACCTCTCCCTTAACCATCCCAGGAGCACTGACCTTTCTGCTTCTGTGTCTTCATGGGATGCCCCCGCCCCCTTTCACTTGCATCACCAACACACTCAAGCTGACAAAGGTCTACCTTGGTCTCATTTTTCCGGAAAGCCTTGGCCCAATTCTGGATTACAGTGATAATTCCTTTCCACACAGGAATGTATACACAACATTTGCTTAGCATTGCCTCTTTTTTTTTTTTTTTTTTCAGATACTCATATAGCGTGGTTTGTTCTACAACACAGGTGAAAGCTCCAGAAGAACTTCTGCATCTTTGTATCACTTAAATTGAATAAAACCTTTGTAGGCAAGTAAGAGGTACCAATAAAAGCTTGTTGAATTGAACTGCATATTTCACTTAAGCTTTCTTCCTCCGTCCACTCCGAATTAGAACAATTAATGGGAAATATGCTACCCATAGAGCTTAAATTAGGCAGATCTCAAGATCTGATCAGTCCAGCTGTGTCATTTCCTTTAGGATTTATTTCATCTCCAGCACTGGCAGACAAAGCCAGGAATTGCACTGAAGCAGGTGGGAGAAGGGAAGAAAGATATTTATTTTTAATATTAGATAGGTCTTCGTTGCTGAAAATAGAAATCTATGCAGCTTCATTTCCCCACCCCTTGACAGCCCTACTCTGGTGTGCCTCATGCCATATCTGTGGCACTACCACATCCCAAAACCACTCTGTGCTGCAACCTCTTCCCCTATTTCGGATTCATCTTGCCCTGGTCTCCTCTTCCCATAGTGTGCATCACTTTTAACATTCCCCAAGAATTACTTACTAAATCTGTCATATATTGTCTGTTTCCCTATCCTTTCCCACTCCCTGCAGTGGAATCTGACCTAAAGTGGTAGAGATCTTTGGCAATTTCATTCACTAATGTGTCACGACTGATGAGAACAGTGCCTCTCACAAAATAGGTGCTCAAAACAAAACAAAACAAAACACATTAAAAGCAATTGGTTGATAAAGGTGACCATTGGCCCCGCTCTTTGTAATTCATACTAAATAGATATTGGAGATCATTTATTTAGCTGTGTTTAAAGCTCACAGCAGTAACCTTTCTCATCTAACATCTGGCACTAGAGTTGCTGTATAGAGTTGGGGGAGACAACGGTAGCCCACTTACAACGGGTCTGCTTCTCTTCTTTCCTTCCTTCCAAAAAAAGAAAGCAAAACAAAACCAAAAAAAACAAACAAAAGCAAAACAAAACGAATTACCAAACTTACACAGGTCTCCAAGATGAAAACGCAGGTATGGTAATGAAACAATGCTACAGCTATGTCCTGAACCCCTTACTCTCCCACAGATAATTCCAATATTTTCGGGAGAAGGGGAGGAACATTTAAAGTTTCAAATAATGTAATGGGCTGTGACTTTGCCAACAAGCAATCAGCTAGCTATTTATTTTGCCCAGGGGTACAGGTAACTGAATTATTAAACTGTGCTTAAAAATCCCCTTAACAGCCAATTTTTCCAATTTCCAGTTTGACTAGATATACTATGAAAATAGCTCAGCACAGTAAAAATAACCTCGAGCGAGTTATAATTTTGGTGACTGGACATTTATTATTAATTTACTTGAAGAGGATAAAGAAGGGAGAAAAATTCATATCCCTTGGTAAGTCGATCTAATATACTTCTAATGGATTTGATCCCCCGACATGTGAAGTCAAAGGACAGTAAGTGAATTAGCCAATTAGTGAAAAAGGCAACCCCTTAACTCTCTGAGAAATATTCCCTGTGAGTCCATAGATGCTGCTCACCATTGACTCTCTGATCTAACACTAGTGAAGGCAATTTGGTGTTCTAGTGAAGCTCAGTTAAAACACTGCACCAAGGTTTTAAAAATTAGCTCTAATTCAGAGAGGCATGGAAATTAATACGAGAGTACCACAGAAATTAGCACAGGCCCACAGAGCTGTATCCTAAAGGAAATAATTTACATTTTGAAAAATAAATGGAGAACTAGGAACACATGGACTTTTCTTCCTCAATAGATGTATAATCTCTGTTTCTTAAGACATGAGATTCAGGGAGAATTTATACAGAGGAGAAGCCTTCCAAAGCTTTTACTCAAAACAAATTTAACTGTTTTGAGCTCCCACATGAACTTTCTATAAATGGATGATGATCCTTCATGCTGGCCATCTCTCCTTAGAACACTTTATAAATAGAGAAATTAGATCTATTGACTGTTGGTTTCCTAAGTTATTTAGATTACTATTATTATTAAATGTAATGGTATCTAACATTGATGGAATGTTTCCAATGTGACAAGCTCTATTCTAGCATATGGATGTCCCATTTAAACTTGAGAATATCCCCACCAGGAGGCATTGCCATCACCTCATGTTAGAGATGAGACAGTTCAGGCACAGAGAAGTAACTTGCTCAAAATCAAGTAATAAGTAATCAACCACAAGGTAAGTTGATAAAGTTAGGATGCCTGATCACATCATTTGACTGCAAACCACGACACTATACTACTGCATATACAATAAGTATATTTGGTGTCAGCTGTGGATGACTCTGTAGAATTAGATCGGGGCCAAAGCAGGAATTCCTGACCCTAGATCTGGCAGTAAAGCTCATGATGAGAAACACCCATAGGAGAAGGTCTCCAAGAGGATGAAACATTGCTTGTGGCAGTAGTCTCTGGGATCTAGAAATGGAAGGATGCTTAAGGCAAAATAGAGCAGAATAGAGGAAATGATGTCTTCTGGGGAGGGGGTAGCAGAGGTGCGGACATGTAGCAGGCAGGAAACTGAAGACTGACAAGTAGTAAATGAGCTGAGTCTGTTTAGATAGGTGGGTTCCAATGGTTCTACATGTAGAGAGAGGCTGTGAGACGCGAAATAGTGAAATGGACTCAAGGAACGTCTGAACGTGTAGAGAAACAATAGAGAACAGCGACCAACACAGTAGAGATTTGTAACGTGTTTCCCCTGCCCCATTCTTAACACAGTCACTTTATCAATCCCAAAGTCTTTTTCCTTTTGTCTGAGAGACATCTATGTATAAGAGAGAAAAAGAAGAATAACAAGTTAATTTTACATAGGAAGAAATTGATGTCAATTAAACTATAACTGAAGTGGTGGGAACTAAACTATATTCTGCATGAAAAGGAACGAGTTGGAAATTCATGGGTGAAGATACTGTGTTCAGGGGTCTGGAATCATCATTAATTTTAAAAAATATTCTTTCAACCGTAACAGGGCAAAACAATATAGCCTTCTATTATGAACATACAGTGAGGAAAGCAGTGAAAGAAAAAAAGGGCACTAAGAATGAGAAGGAAAAGCACTAATATTTACAAACTGTATGTTTTCCCATTGGACTCTCACAGAGAGTTCTATGGAGTCTTACTCCCCTTTTGTGATGAAGAAAGAAATGGAAACTCAGTGGGGCTAGTGATTTGCCTATGGCCATTTAGTTGGTAAATGATGAACCTGGGATTAGAACTCTAGAGCCCTAACAAGATGGGGTTAACGACTATATTGTACTACGTCCCTGATTAATGAAAATTAATTTACTTCATGGCTTAAATAGAAAACATCGTTTTTTTTTTTAACCCAAGAAACAGACTTCAAGATGAATTGATGACAATTAAAATTTGTAGCCTAACACAGCTTTAAGAGTTATTTATTTAAAGTGTTTGATACACACATAGACACACACACAACAATGTCTATTCTAAGAAAAAAATGAGGTACCCAAAATAAGATATATATTTTTCTATGCATATGTGAAATATGCTATCCTAGTAAAACATAAAATAGCAAAGACAGAAAGCATACAGATATCTACGGATTCTGCTATTGGTTCATCATTAAAATTTTATTAAAAATGAAGTATGAACTTTCCTTGGAGCTAGCCCTTGGTACCAATGTATTATATTGTCATCTTTTTCTTCTTTCCCTCTGGCACTGCAAAGGGGAGATTCATCCAAGATGTCGGTAATAGATTTACAAACTGCTGATTCTCCTGCATTAGCTCTTTGTCCATCCCAAGACACTAATTAGGCTGCACTTAAACCATCCATCATCCTGAGCAGCACACAGATGTGAGTCTTCTATTATGGCTTACTCTAGCTACTTGGGGCCAGTCAAACACATTTTCTACAGTGCTGGGTCATTGTTGTGGGTTTCCTTGAATGAGGCCACTTTGGAACAACTC